TGGTACTCATGAAAGTGTGAGAACTGTATGTCATCTTTTATAACTGATCTGTGATGATCGTATGCTTCTGCACTATATGCTTCTGTTATACCAATAAACTATTCTGAATAAGCTGCCCCTAACAGTTTTATCAGACAGAGGCAGCAATGTCATTTAACCACCAATAAACTAATCTGAATAAGTTGCCCCAAATAGCAAGACAGATTATTCTGATAATCTGCAAATTATCAGATTATCAGAGTAATCTGCTTATCAGCAGATTATAAATAATCATCAGCTGCGCCAAACAGACCCTAAAGCATGATAGCGTAATGAAATAAATCTGATGAAAGGACTGCATTAATTGCCTTCAGCCTCCCGTGATGAACAAGACATAATATAATTAAAATCGTAAGAGATGCATAGAAGAAAAAAATGTGAATTTAAGAATACTTCTTAAATGTTCACGGTAGAGAGGTGCTTTAAATAGAGTTTCAAGGAATCATATTTAGAATGAAGAATTCCTTACGGGCTAATTTCATGCATGGTAAATAATCTTAGAAAGGGGTTCATCCTACTCAAGTTCAACCTAAGTTGGGGGATTCTAAAAAATGGAAAGAATTATTAAAAATTAGATCTCAACCTGAAGAAATTTTTGTTTGGGAGGTGGGTGATGGTCATATACACTTATGGTATGAAAATTGGTTATTTGATATGGTGTTGATCAATTATTCCAGCAATCGGATATCATCAAGGTGACAGATACTTGGAGGGATGCATGTTGGAATTCTTCAAAAATTAGTGGTATTGTTAAACAGGAGGCACATAAGAAGATTATGGCCTTGCCTTTCAATCCTTTACATAAAGATATATTGATTACCAAAACTTCAACTCACCAGTCTATTTTAACATTTATTTATGAAGCATATTACAATTGGCCCAAAACAGATGGGGGTGCACTAATCTGGAATAAATATATCTCTCAATACATGTCATTTTTTTTTGCTGAAGAATATTTAGAACATTTCTACCCACAAATGATATTTTAAAATTGAAAGGAATAAGGGGACCTTCCAGATGTCAGCTATGTCATAAAGAAGAGGATAATAATTTGTTTCTGCATTGTGTTAGTGTTCGAGAGGTGTGGAGGTCAGTGCTCAGAAATGTGGGTGCTGAATCCAGATTTTCTAATTGGATTAATGTTGAATCTTGTTGGTAGGACTGAAAAACACAAAAGAATTTTTATATTCCTTTTATCATTTTCTGGTTTCTTTGGATGACCAAAAATGCAACGCTTCATGATAACAAAATGTCAACTACCCAATACATTATCAATAATTGTTTAACTGATCTATTTAAAGTACAGAAATCAATTTCAACTCAACAGGAAACACAAAATGGTATTAATGTTCAACTAATTATCTGGAGAAAACTCAAACCACCCTGGCACAAGATTAATACTAATGGGAGCTTCAAACATTTAGATGCAAGTATTGGGGGATTATGTAGAAATCATAATGATCATTGCTTATGGTTTTTTTCAACACCTGACTTCTCCAAAAATGTTATTGAAATTGAAGCTATGGCTGTCTATTGGGGATTGAGAATTGCAAAATCTACATAATTATCAATTTATTCACATGGAGATGGATTCCCTTCAATTGGTTCAGATACTTCTTAATAGAAATTTAGCTCCTTGATATCTTCTTAATTGGATTAATATGATCAAGAACTTCTCTTCTTCCTTATCTATTATTTGGAGTCATACTTATAGGGAAGGAAATCAGCCTGCAAATTGGTTGGCCAAAAAAGCTCTTCATTCTTATGAGATCATTTGTAGCTCTTTAGCCTCTCCTTTTTTGAAATTTTTGCTACATGGGGACATTATGAATCTCCCTCATGTTAGGTGTAAAAGACTATATATATATATATATATAATGCATTATAGGATATAACCAATCAGCTGACATTATGTATTTTGATTTAATTATACATGAAAGGTATGTCAAACAACTCATGAAAAAGAAGTTGACTACACTCGAATAAGACATTGATCCTCAAAAGTGGATAACTATCTATGAGACCATGCAAGTTCTAATTTGTAATGTCAATGCACATTCTACACCTGCCATCTGATCTCTAAATCATCAACATTTTTTAAGTTCATTCTAAATTAAAGTTCCCTAATGAATCTAACATTTAAATGTTTTTGCACTTTAAAATGACTTGGCTCAACTAAAGTTACAATACTTGGTATAATTTTCTACTTAATTGGCCTACTTTTGTTAACTTTTATCTTAAGAAATGAAAAATCTTCCACATTCTATAACATTTTGATCAATTCATCTTTATATTTTTCATTAAATAAATTCTTCATTTAAAGGTTCAAATTAAATCTTTAGCAATTAGTACTTCCTATATCACCGTAGAAGTCCCAAGTCGCTACGTTGAATTTAAAGTTGAGAACTCCTTTGAATATTTCTTATTACTTTTAAGAAACATGACATTGTTTGAAGCAAGTTGCCCCTTAAAAAATACTACTTGACCACTAGCCAAAAATTTCATGGCAATATAATAATTAGAAACAGTGCAGGCAAGGAGTCAATGGTGGCCGACCAAGGAGTTCATTATAAGTCATAAAGGCATGAATTATGATGAAGTTGGCAATTACTACATACTTTTCTCTCTCTCTCTCCAAGTCAAGTGGTTGATAACAGTATCACACTTGTTGTTTATCTCCTTTCTCTTGAAAATCTGAATAGAGGTTTTACATTCTATGAGAAGCAAGAATCTCAAATGCCAATCTTATCAAAGATCTTTCCTTAATTATATGTATAGAACTTACTACACTAATCAAGAAGATATCTATCTAATAATTTAAGTAGTATAAAGATTATTAATCAATGGTCTATTTTCTTTGAAAAAAAATAATGAATATCACCTCTATAATAAGAGCCCATAATGTACAAGCCAAATTTGCCTCTTCTAGTTAATCATTTAAAGCTTACTTTTCTAGAAGCCTATTTAGAGCCACCCATAATGGCAAGTTTTGTACTAGCTATTTAAATTACTTGCATTAGGATGGTTCTTTATTTGACTCTTTCATTGGCATCATACACTCAAACTTCTATCTTGTTTTATCAAAACATGTTGATTTAATTTCTATCTTGATTAGTTCTTCCACAAACTTTAAAGAGATGATTCAATTTTGTGCCATGACCATTGGGAAGCACAATACTTAATGTAACCCTTACATGAGAGCTCTCTTTCATCGAAGCTAGTTTTTGAAGTAGACTTTACTTTGAATGGTTTCTACAAACATGACCACCATGCTATGTAATAAGGTGATAATTGGATGGCAACAAGTTGATATTGTTGACTTCCTTATTCTTCTTTCATCATCTCCATTTTGATGTTAAAGCCACCTCTCTAGGGAGTTTCTAATAAAAATAAATGTTGCTGTATATGAGAATGTGAATTCATATTTGCTCTTCAAACTTTGAGCGACTTTCTAAGCCCTTAGAAAATTGCAAAATTTTTGTATACAATCTTTTTAGTTGACTCAAAAGTAAACACGCCATCTCTTAGTCATACAATCTTTCTCTGCAGTGGCATGGTTGTTAGCAAGTTCAAATAACTAAACCAAAAATTTTGATTGCCATTGCCTAAGAATTTTGCAATATGTTCCTTCCCTCAAACTTCATGGGAGTGCAACTTAAGCCACAACCAATTCCAAATCTTTTATCTTCTGCATCCACCTCCAAAACCTAAAGATGAAGTTTCTAAATAAATCACATGGCTCATGCTATAGCTTCAATAAAACCTACAACTTATTCGAAAGTTGTGCTCTAATGAGTTGGGTAAAAAAAAAAAATTCTTAAGGCCAGTGAATGTTACAATCATATGAGTGGCCATTTGAAAAATCAATTGAAGCTTACCCTTTGCAATTAGTACAAAATAACTTTCATTTGAAAGCATCCTTTAATGTTGAGTAGAGAAACAATAGATTTGAAATGGGTGCATCATAATTTGCAAGATAAAAATTTTATGCTGAGAATCAAGATGTGAAATCTTGACATATGCAATCTCTCTAAAAAAGCAATTTGTCAGCCTAAACTTTTTGTTCTCAACATTTCTCTCCACTCAATGAGATAGGGAGATAAAGCTTCTTCACTATTTGGCTAGTGTGCCACATCATTGGCTTGTGTGGAGGGCAAAGCTCTTGCAATGGAATATGCCTTCTTCTGATAATAGAGTTAGATGACTCCTTTAGTAGTTATACCAAGGGAATGTTCTTAGAATTTGCTCGAGGATTGTTCAAATATCCTGCTTGTTCTTTTTTTTTCATTGTTGCTAGCTATTGAGTACTCATAAAATCTCGGTATTACATGCTTTTTGACGTCTCTCTAATTCACTCCTCTAAAATCATTGATGCATCCTTTATTTATTCTCGACAAAAACCCATTTACATCTTCCCTTAGAGGACTTCGAATTTTAAATAATATGTAGGTTATACCATAATTTTACAACCACTCAATAAAAGAGGAGAGAAATAAAGAAGAAAATTATAAGCTTTAAGATTCTATTACAAGATTTCATCAAATTGTGAGATTGCATAATCATAAGCGCTTCTCATGACCCATTATTATTAGGTTAGGATAGAGACTTTCATATTGCAGGATAAGCAAAAAAAAAAAAAAAAAAAAAAAAAAAAAGAAGAAGTAAAATTTAAAAAATAGTACATAACAAGATCATTAATTACTCCCACTTCATCAGACGGACAAAATTATCACTCTTACATTCACCAAGGATCATGAAAGAGACATCAACAAATTTGAATTCAACATAGCTATGAATTTCTTCAAACAATAAGTCACAGGTTGTCTGCAATACCATGCGAAACTAAATGAAATGCCCAACAGGCAGCATTGAAAAGTGTAGATGTGAATTACCTTGATTGCTAATTAACAAAAATATAAGAAAAATAAACTGCAACAAATAAATTTTTTGAACTGTGGCAATATGACCAAAAAAAAAAACAAGAGCAAAAAAAATATTGAGCTTTTTTAATAATGGAAGAGCTATCAATGTCTACAAACGAATTAAAAATTGAGCAAAAAAAAACTGAAATTTGAAAATATATTGGTATGTATATATCTACACCCCACCAAACAAATAGAAGCATCAAATAAAGACAATTCTAGGATGCTACACGTTACCTACCCAGCACATGAAGATTTCAAAGCAATCTGGTTTTGATAGGCCTCAGTTTAACACCCATGCTCTCAGGAGAGAGCATCTCCGGAGAGATGCAGGAAGAGCAGAGAGGGCTGCGGGGGCTCGAACTTAGATGGCAGGGCCTGTAAAGACCGTAACCCATGAAGAAATACTCCAAAGGAATCAGCATCGCATGTGGTTGCTCCTCTGTCACCACTGACCCGCACTCCTGGACCTGGCAGTAGGAGCAAGAAGTTCAATGGGGGTAGTTATGTTATTGAATTTCGAGTTAATTATCTACATAATGATGTTATTTAAGATGGGAGAGTTATCTTCTAAATGTAATGTATTTGGATCGATGTTACCGTATTGCTTGAAGAATATAGTATCATGTTCTTTTTTTCTTTTTTTTTTCTCCTATATTTTAGTGCTGAAGTTTGAGCCAACAAAATAGCACTTCATTTTATTACTATCTAATTTATGCTATTGGAAGAGACGATCTCTTTGCCTCTTTGTTATCATTGATATTTTTAAATAAGAAAATCTAAAATGGCATTTCAATCATACTTTGATGACAACTGCAAATATCCACCAAATTGACGTAAATAGATTTCATGATTACTGACAACTAAAAGAAAAAATTAACAATGAGAATCACACACACACACACTTCCTTATTCTTCTTTC